GAAGGAAAAATTCTTTAAGCAGGGACTCACTGTTGTCTGTAGACACTATAAATGTGTTGGGTGTTGTGTCTCTTCCTCCACCTCCATTTTCAAAGGCTCCGTATCCCTCACTCTCCTGAAGCTGCCAGTTTAGACCAAACAGGTGCATGGCTGCAAAGAGGAGCAGACGAACAGGGAGGCAAAATGTTTAGTGTTCAGCAGAGCACCAACAGTAATCTATTAGACACTCAAATATGCAAGCAAACACCAGTCTAACCATTCGCTCACCTCCACACACACACACATAAACAAGCATCTACGGTCGGGCAGGTGTGTGTTTGTGTTAAAGCATCAGACAACTTTAGACATCAAGCTCAACTCCTGGTACAGAAACATCCACAACCACACAGCTCATCACAGGTCTCAGCTAAAACTGTTGTTCACTCCTACAGGATAAGGAGCCTCAGAATGATGTTGTAACAAAATGAGCAAGCGTGTCACATGTTTCAGATCACAAACAAACCTGACTAACACCAGTAAATACAACATACAGTTTTAAATGAAAATCTGATTTATTAAGTGAAAAACAATGGACCTGAACCTGTCTGGCCCTGTGTGAAAAAAGAATTGTCCAATAATAAGTTGTGCTGCTGGCAGCGAGAAGAGTAAGTAAGTGTTTGCGATATGGATTTCTCACATCCCTGTGGAGGAATGTTGTCCATGTCGTCTTTATAGAATCCTTTCTATAAAATTGGAGGGTTATGAGAACAGACTGTTTAAGGTCACGCCAGGTCATCCAGATCCTGAAGCAGCAAAGCAACAGCAGCCCATCATACTACGACCACCATATTTGACCTTTTTATGGAATGCTGTTCATTTTGCACCACATGTTTAAATATTATGCCATAATTCCACAGAATAGTTTCCAAAAAGTCTTGTGGATCATGAACACGTCTGTGTGTTCCTTTAGTCAGCAGAGGTTTGTTCTGGGTACTTTGATGTTGGTCTGGGTTCTTTGATGTTG